GAAGGAGAGCCGCAAGGGAAGTCGTTAGGGCTGAAGAGAAACGAAAGGGGTAAGCGGGACAATAGGTCAGAGGAAAGCGGGGACGCGGGCCTAATATCGCGGCCGCGAATCGATCCGCTTTGCCAAAGATTTGCCGCAAAGCTTCGAACCAAACACCGGAATGCGGGACGAAGCCGTTGTCGCACGCCGCGCCGCCCAGCAGAAGCCGAACCAAACAGACCCTAAATCAGCTATTCAAACGAATAGTCACACCCATCAAGATATTGCCTACTTTGGCCTAGTGGTCTCACGGTTTTGTCCTGTTTGTGTTACTTATCAGGAGTTCACCCATCTTAGGAGAGCTCCAACTCGAGTACACTTAACTTTGAAATTTCTAATGAAATTTCACTGTTACACCAAAATGTGTCTCTATATTTAAGAATTCAGCTTCAATCTACCTTAGGGGTTCACAATTTTTCCCACTTAAGTACTTAAGGTCCCCATTAGGGCTTGATACCCAGAATCATCCACCAAGCACATAGGATTCTAAATGTGACCCTTACAGATTCAAGAGGTGGCTCTCTCATGGTGTAGCCCATTGTTTTGTATGACACTTAGTTCCCATCTTTCGGTTGGTATTTACTCCGATATCATTTGTGACAGTTTGGACTCTCACACATCCTCTCTCATGGTGTAGCCCATTGTTTTGTATGACACCTAGTTCCCATCTTTCGGTTGGTATTTACTCTGATATCATTTGTGACAGTTTGGACTCTCACACATCAAGGTATTGCCCGTTTTGGCCAACTGGTCTAACGGTTTTGCTCCATTAGTGTAACTTCCTAGGAGGTCCCCATTTTAGGAGTGCCCCAGCACGAGCACGAGCACGCTTAACTTTGGAGTTTCTAATGAAATTTCACCGTTACACAATGTTTAAGAGTTCGGCTCCAATATAAGTAAGGGGTTTCACAAGACACTTCATGGTTTTAATCAATAATACTTTGCACCTTGCTGATTTAGCAAGTCAATCAGGCATTCAACTAAAGTAGATTTTGGCAAGCCATTCAACTAAAGTAGATGTTGGCAAAATTAAAGAGTGAAAAAATGCTGATTTGGCTAGTCTATCAGGCATTCAATCAGTCAATTAACCCATAGTACTTACTAACTGCGTAATAATTTAAAAAACTAACATAGACTAATGAATAATATCAGAAGAGGTGTTCTCCAAGACTTGTACAAATAACCAAATATACAGTCAATTAGTCATCCTAGCGGATTTTAGCAAAATTAAAGTTTGATGCTAAACAACCTGAAAGCCATATAACAAATAAGTAATCAAATAATCAAGTTCAAATTTCAAACAAATTAAGGTTTGAGGCAACCTTTCATCCATATATCATTCATTCCGTTGATGTAACTTTTTGGCAGAAGCAATCAAATGCCAATATGAGTTTCTAAATTATCATGTATATCAATTATGCTCCACGTGGGACTTTGTTCACGTAGTATATGGGAAATTATTTTTTATTTTCTTAACGGACTAGCACCGAACTCACTGCTTCTCTCCTACTCTCGGACTATATAGCATTGGTAGTGTTGACAACAAAATTTTGAGTAGTTCAAAAGCTTGTTCGCATTCTGCAGTCTAAGGAAGGTGATAGGTAGTTTTAATGGCTCTAAAGAATGCAGAGCATCGATCTCCATATTTGGATATAAATATATTCCGGCACGCTATATGTCTGGTCAAGGTTTGTAGTTAATTGATGTTCTTTTGGTGGCATATCTAAGATTGCTTTCACCTTCTTCGAATTGGCCTTTTATTGTCTTGGGCGTGAGCAAGTATCCGAGGAATTTTCCTGAGCTTGCTCTGGATGTACATTTCAGTGGATTAAATCCTTAAGGTGTTGAAAGTTTCTCTTTTATCTTGTATGTGCTCCTCAGATGATTTGCTTTTAATCAAATGTTTATCAATATAGACTTCAAGATTGTTTTTCTCTTTTTGTTGGGTAAAAATTGTATCCATCAGTCTTTGATAATTGACCCCAAAGTTTTTAAGCTAAAGAGCATTACATTATAACAATACACCCACTCCATGGTGATGAAGGTGATTTTTTTCTGCATCTATCGGTTGCATTTTAATGGTAAATAGAGAAGGCGATTAAGAAACTCACAATAAAGTACGTTTTCACAATATCGTGGCAAGGGATGAATCTCTTTTGGGCATGATGCATTCATATTGATAAAGTCAACACGCATTCTCTACTTGTTCGCCTCCAGAGTCATCACAATATTTGCTAACTAATTAGGGTATTGTGCCTTTTCTGATAAAATTGGAGTCCAGCAGTTTTATGTACTCCTATCGGATTGGATCAGCCAATATGGTGGCTATAGGTCTAACCTTTTGCCTAATCTATTTGGCTTTTTGGTTGATGTTAAGCCGAAGGCATACGATGTTTGTACTTTCTCCCAACATCTCGTCTGCCGCGCGAGCGTACACTTCGTGATCCTCTCTCAAGACTTCAACTAGCCAATCCATATCCCTCCCCTGCTGAAACTTCATCTTATTTGAAAATTTTTACTCGTATCCTCTTGGGAAATGTGTACTTGCTCGGCATTTTGGGTAGTTTGTAGGCTGCTGCATTTGTTTGCATCGAGTTGTAGGATGTCCTCCTATACATTATGCCCCCCCCCTGGACATTGAAGATTTCTCCTCCACTGGTAAATTTCAGGCCCACATGATAAATGGAAATCAGTTAAAGTTACTGTATTGCCTTTATCTTTCTCCCCAAGTTACTGGTAATGAAACTAAGATTGTATTAGAAAACTTATAAATTTAATTATCTTGGAAGTTAATCGTTAACAAGGTTGTTAAAAATAAATTTAGATAGTTTAAATGCTATATGATAATGGTACAGATTATCTCTCTCTCTATATATATGAACGATCCGAACACGAGCTGCTTAACGAGCCGAACACAAGCTGTTCACGAACAACGAGCCAAATTGACAGCCCTACCTCCTATACATTATGCCCCCCCCTGGACATTGAAGATTTCTCCTCCACTGGTAAATTTCAGGCCCACATGATAAATGGAAATCAGTTAAAGTTACTGTATTGCCTTTATCTTTCTCCCCAAGTTACTGGTAATGAAACTAAGATTGTATTAGAAAACTTATAAATTTAATTATCTTGGAAGTTAATCGTTAACAAGGTTGTTAAAAATAAATTTAGATAGTTTAAATGCTATATGATAATGGTGCAGATTATCTCTCTCTCTCTATATATATATATTTTTGGTGCAGATTATCATAGACTCTTTGCTCGTTAATTGGTGGACCAAGGACCAGCGATCTACCACCACCAAAGACGCGTAGAACCTCGCCTCTCCTTCATTTGGTAATTTCTCCTAAAATTTCAGCTGATTTGACGCACACATTTGAAGTGCTCATAAACAGCTAATATTGATTGATTGTATGAATTACGTAAACCAGAAGTAATTATAATATTGATTTCCTCTAAACTTTAATAACAATTAAATTATTTTACTTCCCTCATTCGTTCGCAAATGAAACAAGATGTAATAGAATTATCAGTTGAAGTGTATTATTGTTAGTAGGCCAAGGATCATGAAAGGACAAGAGAGGACAATTATGTGTAACTTTTAAGAGACCCAATCCTTAAATTTGCAAACAACAGAGTTTTTGAATGTGTAATATATGCATTTAATATTAAATATAGTTTATATATATATATAATTTTTAGTACAGCCATGAAAATGCTTACAAAACAAATATAGTCAGATGTGTTGACAATGGCACAAGGTATTCTCTTTTACGAGCCATAACACTTTGAAATATATGATTAACTAACTACACGGTGGCAATAAGATGGACCTACCACTGCCTTCAATTTTTATTTATGAAAGAAAAAAATAAATATTTTTTAAAATCTGGACCTTTTTTTTTTTAAGAAAAAATCATAAATAAGTTGTAATTTATAAAATGAGATTTGCATACATATCCCCCATCATCAATTTATATATCTAATACATTAATATTTTTTTTTGAATGATAATTTGTGTATATCACATCAAAAAAATTAGTATTTTAACCTTCATAAAAATGAAATACAACTTTTTCATACATGAATAACATGGCATATATGTAACAATTAACATTTTTAAACATTAAATAGTTCTACTCCAAATAGTTGCTCTATAATTAGGAAAAAACAATTGGTAAGGAATTAATCAGCTTCTGATTCTAAATAGTTGCTTGACAACCTTGCACACTTTGTGCTATCATTTTAACATAAATCATAAGGAGATACTAAAATAAAACTTTTATTCAAAATTCTTTATGCACATAAATAGCTTATCTAGCAACTATTATTAAATTATCTTCAATAAAAATATCTTTATTATAAATACAAATGCTCTTCATTTTAGGAAAATTTACATGCAAGCCACACTTTTTTTATTGGACAGGTTGAGCACTCTAACACAACCCTTCAGAATTCTTCATTTTATTTCTAACCAGTTTACTTTAAAAAATAGCACATTTAAATAAAATATTATTTTACTTGATTTAATTATAAAACCCCCCATTGAAATCAGATTAGGGCAGAACTAAGTTTCACACAGTAGAACCCTCAAATCTCTAACAAAATATAAAATATCCCCATCATTCCTTATTCAAGTCATGTACTCAGAAAAAATATTACATCAGGACTCCGCACGGAGCTCAATGAAATCACACCACATGAAAAAAAAATTTTATGTGGTAACACAATAAAATATTCCTCCTGTATTATTCAGAAATTATTGTGTTATTTAATTATTATTATGTGTGTTATTCATGTGTTATTGTATTATTATAACACCGGAAATATTCTCAGAACACAATAACACATGAATAACATACAATAACATATACAATAACACCTGAATAACATACAATAACACCTGAATAATACGGAATAACACGAGAGAAATATTCCCTGAATATATGATTAACTAACTACACGGTGGCAATAAGATAGACCTACCACTGCCTTCAATTTCTATTTATGAGAGAATGAAATATTTATTAAAATCTTGACTTTTTTTTTTGTTAGAAAAAATCATAAATAAGTTGTATATTTATAAAATGAGATTTGCATACATATCCCCCATTATCAATTTATATATTTATTACTTTTATTTTTATCTAATACATTAATATTTTTTTTTGAATGATAATTTGTGTATATCACATCAAAAAAATTAGTATTTTAACCTTCATAAAAATGAAATACAACTTTTTCATACATGAATAACATGGCATATATGTAATAATTAACATTTTTAAACAATAAATAATTCTACTCCAAATAGTTGCTCTATGGTTAGGAAAAAGCAATTGGTAAGGAATTGAATCAGTTTCTGATTCTAAATAGTTGCTCTACACCCTTGCACACTTTGTGCTATCATTTTAACATAAATCATAAGGAGATACTAAAATAAAACTTTTATTCAAAATTCTTTATGCACATAAATAGCTTATCTAGCAACTATTATTAAATTATCTTCAATAAAAATATCTTTATTATAAATACAAATGCTCTTCATTTTAGGAAAATTTACATGCAAGCCACACTTTTTTTATTGGACAGGTTGAGCACTCTAACACAACCCTTCAGAATTCTTCATTTTAATCCTAAGCAATTTACTTTAAAAAATAGCACATTTAAATAAAATAAATGTGCTATTTTATTTTATTTTATTTATATATACATTTATTTATACAATTTAGAGCAGAAATGTATATATAAATAAATATTTCTGTATTTATAATATTGGTACAAAAATACAGCAAACTAAGTTGAATAAAAGTTATACCTGAACTGAGTTTCACACAGAAGCCTCAAATCTCTAACAAAATATAAAATATCCCCATCATTCCTTGTTCAATTCATCTACTCGAAAAAATATTACATTAGGACGCCACGTTAAGAGTTACGTGCGGAGTACAATGAAATCACACCACGTAAAAAAAAAAATTTGCACGGTAACACGAGAATATTTATTCCATATTATTCAGGAATTATTTTATTATTCAATTATCCCGGTCCAAACTCGAAAGCGGTGAGTTTTGTCACGGTCCAGCATGTCCGTTTCCTCTGCCAGGTTATGCTCCCCAAGTATTTTCATCGCTCAATTGTGATGCCCTCCCAACATCGCTATTGGTGAGTTCACCGAAGATAAAAAAGAAATAAAAAATAGCGAAGCACGCGGCACGACGGTAAGAAAAAAATATTACATCAGGACTTCGTGCGGAGTCTGATAAAATTACGTCATTGAGGTTATCGACTCGATAACACAAGGGATATTCCCCTCATATTATTCAGATGTCATTGTGTGTTATTCAAGTATTATTGTATTATTGTGTTATTATAACACCGAGAAAATTCCCAGAACACAATAACACCTGAATAATACGAGGGGAATCTTCATTTGTGTTACCGGGCCGATCACCTCTACAGCGTAATTTCATTAGACTCCGCACGTAACTCTACGCGCGGAGTCCTGATGTAATATTTTTTCAAAGTACTGTAGCCCAAAAGAAATAATAATAATGATAATAATAAATAGGGGCATTTAAATACCTACCACCCAATTCCTATGTTTATACATATTTAACAACAAAACTTTACTTTTTACATTTATATCACCTCTTCCATATCATATCAAAAGTGGCATGTATGTAAATCTTCCTAATAGAAAAATAAAGACTGCAACTCATATGTTCCTCAAGCTCAAGCTTATAACAGGCAATGACTAGTAAGTTTCTCAACAGAAAATAAGGTTATTCAAAACACAGAGGGAAAACAAGGACTCCATGCATCCATGATTTCAGAGCCCAAAAATAAATATTGGTTTGGACAGTTAAAGGTGCTTATTTGCTGAAAATCAAAAGCTAATCAAAAGAAAGTTCATTTATATTTGAATCCAGGAGTATACGATACCACAAATTAGTAAATAAATCATTCTTCAGGTTGCCGTTGTCCCAAACCCGGAATGTCCTCAAATCTCTTCTGCAGACAGCAGAAAACAGCAATGTATTAGGAGCAAAATAAATTAAAGAGAAACTAACCATCATTTCATTTTGAAGTTATACCTTTCTGTCATGCAAAAAGGTTGGCAAAAGAAAGTATAGAGTAAAATTGGAAGAATTTACGTTGGATCATTTGGCTTTGGCCAATACCAAACTCACGCAAACACAAATAAATCATACTGCAAACAGCATTCTGTACAGGGCCTTCAGTAGCTATAGATAAGGGTGTAAGTGAGTTGAGGCTGCTTGCGAACTGACTCGAGCTCAGTCGAGCTTATCAGGCCCTGACCGCGAGCTCGAGCTTAAACGCAAGCTCCTTTGTTAAACGAGCTCGAGTTCAAGCTTGTCAAGATTTGGCTCGCATGCTCGATAGCTGGGCTTGACCGTCCATTTGATGGTCACGTGAATGCCTTCTTCAGTGAACTGTCGTGGCTCTTCTCTGGCAAATGATGCCTTCTCCGGTGAACTTTCATGATAATTTGATTTTTTGGCTTGAGATTGTGAGTCGGCTCACAAGCTTGTTGTCATCCTTGCAAGCTGTGCTGGAGCTCAGCCTTGCATTTTCACAGACGAGGCGAGCTCGAGTTAGGCATGGCTCAGAGCTCAACTCAACTCGTTACAAAAACTGGAATTTGAACTGTGATGAGAGAGTTCAATCGATGCCTTAAAAAGGTCAGGGTGGGAAAGCTAGTCTGGGCTCTCACATAAAGTGCTCAGTCTCACATATGGAATTTCACCTATGAATCCAATTATCCCAGCCATGCATCAATATTTGAATGCATCCATGCCGGCAGAAAAGTCTCCTAAAAGGCTCTCAAACTGCACTATGCATTCTTGCCTTAGCACAACTCCCATTGAATCTCCCTCAAAGCTCAACATGATGAGGGCTACCTCAAGAACTCGGATGTGTTGCTCAAGCGAGCATCCAAAGAGCCTGATGCTTCTTTGCTTAAGAATAAGCTTAAGCAGACTTAAAATCCTATTTAGGATGTCAATTCAATTATTAAAGTAAGCAAATTAAATATGATGGGTGATTTGTCAAATCGGCTAGCTGTTACGACCGCTTTCGGCTCGTTTGAAACTGCTCGCGTTCAAAATCAGCTCATGTTTGAAATTGGCCCGTGAACGGAGTGTTCATGTTCGGCTCGATTTAAATATTCTTGTTCGTATTTGGCTAATGCTTGGCTCGAAATTAGTTCATTAAAATTAATTTGAAAAAATAGATGTAGAGTATTGGATTCGAATCCGCACCAACTCTATATAACAAGTGGTGCAGAACCACATGACCACACGAACTATTATGATTTAAACTTAGATATAAATAAAATAATATATCATTATACAAATAATATATATAATATAATATTATATAAATAATATATACAATTTATTTATTTCGAGCTAAAATGAGCCGAACACCAGCGAACAAAGGTTTGTTTGCCTTCGACTCATTTATAATTCAAGCTTAAAAAATTTATTGGTGTTCGACTCATTTATAATTCAAGCTTAAAAAATTTATTGGTGTTCGACTCATTTATAATTCAAGCTTAAAAAATTTATTGGTGTTCGACTC